AGAGAGAGTCAAGCCAAGACTCAAGCATCACCTTCACACAGAAGAAAAGGCTCATTTTCATCAGTGATCCCCCAGTAGTCAAGAGGAGGGACTCAGCTGGCTCCTTTGTGACCCAGGTAAGCATATAATCAGGCATATTTTAGGTGCAGATTACAGGAATTAAATTCAAAGACTCTTTTTTCTGTTTGGGAGAGAAGCAGTGCTGAGGATTCAAGCCCGGGTCTTCAACATGCTGACCAGTGCTCTACTACTGAGGCACATCCAAAGCCTCCCCCACAAAATCTTAAAATTCTCTGAACTTAGTAGTTCGTGAAACAAATAAATATAGAGATGAAGGTGAATTTGTTTGTATTCAAGGATTTTCAAAAGTTTATAGATAACTCATTACTGTCAATTACAAGAAAAATGCATATTAAGGAAATCCAGTCTTTTCTAGTTCCTGTAGTATCTCTAGCTAAATGAGGTAGGCAACATGATGAGCAACAAAGATAACCACATCCTAATTCCCAGAACCTGTAAATCAAAACCCTACATGATCAAGGGGACTTTGCAGGTGTGACTCAATGAAGAACCTGAAATGTGGAGACTATCCTCTATGGTTGGGTTCAATCCAACCATGGGAGTCCTGAACAGAGAACAGTTGGAAAATCAAAGAAAGTAGTGGAAGATGGTGCCCAGAAGCAAGGCTTCCGAGGGACTGAGGAGGGGCCCGCCATCTGATGATCGTGGGCTGCCTCTAGAAGTTGAGAGACTAGAACATGGATCTGCCCTTACACCTTCTAAATCAGATGCACCCAATGCATCACCACATTCTGCACACTGCTGCAGACAGCTGCTGATATGATCCTGCAAGGTCATAAAGTCTGAACATCATTATGTGATTTTTAGTATTACTTTTCAAGACTAATGGGTTAACAGCATTGAAAGGAAAAATTCCTTGGCAGTGCCCCTTGCTTACCATGGGGGCCATATCCAAAACACTGAATGGGACATTAGTTTAATATGACTAAATGCTTTGTATTTCATGATGAGTATGTAAGCCTGGTTGATATTTAATGTAACTCCAGTATTTCATGTTAATAGTTAATACATATGTGACTTCTCTTAACTAAAGCCAGAAGGACTTATAGTACACTGTCAAACTCCATGAATAAAAGAGTCTAAGAGCTAGTGAGTTATGATTGCTAGATCTCAAAAAGGTTTATAAACGTACCTGTTGGTTTGAATGTTCATGCTTTGATTATATATGTTCTAATCTCTCAGATAATTTGTTATTTCTAGAAGATACCAAAACCCAGGTAATCATGCAGGTAAAAATCTAAAACCAAAAGGTTATATGTTGCTCAGTGGGCCCCAGATTTCTGACACAAGCTGTAGAAGTAAGAGTTTTCAGGAATCA